TTCATATATTCTTGTGACCCACTTTTGGGTTGCGACCCACAAGTTGAGAAATGCTGTTATAGACTAAATGATTCAGAGAGGCATGAGTTTCCTAAGCTATAGTCTACTTTGTCAGATGCTATAAATGGACTCCATCTGACAAAGTGGGTTGCAACCTACAAAATCCCATACCTCTGTGAATGAGTTCGTTTGAGGCTCTCTAAGTTTGACGTATGTGGTGACTGCACGCACCACAGGTAGCAAGCTGAGGGAGCAGCCCCCCTAGGATGCCCTCCCACCACCTTGTGGGCTCTGCCTGCAGCATCCCCCTGCCCTCTGCTCAGGGCCGGCCTGTCCTGTCCTGCAGAACTTGCAGCCACAGGGGGCCCCACAGCCAAGGGGCCGTGCCCTACTCACCCCTCACCACCTGCGCCATGTTTAAAGGGCTCAATGCGGGCAGGGAACCCAGGCATCCCCAGCATGTGCTGCCTCCACCCTGTGCCCCCCGCAGTGCAGCCCACATGCTTGCAGCCCAGCCTCATCTATTTTATTTCAGTAAGTTTATACTGCAATTAACTGCAATTTTAATTTTCTGATGGATCAGGGGCTCCCAAAACCATATCTTGCAGGAGGCCCAAAAATTGTGGGCCAGCCCTGCCTCTGCTGAGCAGGCTGCATTGTTGGCACTTGATACCCTTTTCTTCCCTCTTCGTGGGCTGCACTGCCAGCACATTTCTCCCCCAACACCCATGGGTGCTTGCCACTTTAAGGGCTGGAGCAGGCAGCATCCAGGTGTTTGATTGCAGAGGCAGCCATTCGGAGAACCAAGATATATATAGGGTGAAGCAGCAGTGTGCTGCTGGCCACCTCAGCTGGCTGAGCTGAGGTTCACAACATCCTGGAGGTAAGGACAGGAGCTAGGGGGATGGATTGGCGGCTCCTGGTCCTGGGCAAGACCTAAAACTGAACCCTGCCAGGAAAGAGGCCTGGTGGGACTGCCAGTGGCACGGCAGCCCCACTTAAATACCAGGACCATTCACCTCCCTGGTGAAAGGTGGGTCAGGGTACCTCAATTACCCCTAGCCCCCACAACACCATGGGTTTAAGAGTGCCTGGCATGACTATGACCACATGAGCCCCCACAGAGGAAAGAGACCCTGGAGGCCCCAGGGAGGGGATAGATGTATAGCCCCAGAGAGGGGGTGGTAGTGAGGGCCCCGATGTAGGCTGAATTAGTCTGAGGGTCAGTCTGAAGGGCAGCGCATGGGCCAACCACCAGAAGAATAAGTTGCTGGATATGAGAAGCCCGGTGAGGGGCTATGGTGGAGTTAGCCCTCTGTGTGGTGAATCGGCTGGCCACTACCCAGGCGAAGGTTGGGGGAGAGGCCCAACAGACTGCATGTCACCACCCGAGGTGTGATCCAGATAAAGCCCTAAGGCCTATGGGAGCCACTCCAAGAGGGAGCCGGATGTAACAAGTTCTCGATGTGAGAAAGAGGCCCTGTGAGAGGGGGTGGAGTACAAGAGGCCCCAGTAAGGGGGGGCAGTGTGCGTGCATGTACGAATGAGGCCTGACGAAGGACTAAGTTGGTCTGGCATTAGGCCAGGAGCATAATGTCATCCTGGATACCATCTGCAAGGCATGGGCTGCTACGTAAGGGAGGTTCAGAGCTGTGGATAGTGCCCTCTGGCAATGGGGCATGTAATGGGTAGTCTCCCGCATTTACCATCAGTTATGGGAACAGCAAAGTCATGGCAAGTGAGACTGGGTGGACTGCCCCATAGACAGGTGGGTGAGCCGACTTCAGACTGGGTCCCGAGCTTGCCCCTTGTCACAACCTGCAGCATGCAGACCCCATCCACAGAGACTGCATAAGTGGCACACAGACCCCTGGGCCCTCCTGTGTTGCATGGCAGTAGAAGAGGAAGCTGTTGGGGCTCATATGTTGCGTGTTAACTGCTAGTGGGCTGCTCCCAGCCTGCAGACGACACATTAGCCCCTTGCAGGCTGCCGGTCATACAGCCCTGAGTGCCACACTTCTCTGCCTTCTGCCTGTTTCTTTGGAGCAGGTGTTATTTAAGCTAACTTTGCTGTTAATAAATACTTGGCTAAAGATTTTATCAGGGAGCCCTAGTCAGCTGAGGCAGCAGGACATTGCTCGGTGGGAATGTGGGTGTTGGGGCTTGTTTTGCAGTAACAGGGCCTATGGCTGGCCTGCTGTGCCCAGGCTGCCTTGTTCTTATACCAGGACATAAGGGGATCAGGGTAAGGCCTTTTGATATGCCATTGGGAAAGTGTGGGCCTAGACCCACCAAGTAAACACTATAAGTCCTGCTTGGTGATAGGGGGCCACTAAGGGCATATCACTGATTACTTGGGACAAATACAATCAAAACAGGGTTGGGAGTGAGGCTTATATGTTTACAAGGACTGCGCTGAGGGGGGACACTGAGCAGAGCACTCCAGACAGTGCCCACTATCTCTCAAATGAGTCCAAGGAGCCACAGGACACTGCACAGTGAAACTACCCAGAGATGTGAATGGAGGAGGGACAGGAAAGCAGCCCCACAGTCAGCAGGGGTCTTCCTGGCTAGAGCCTCCTTCCTGGTCAGGTAAATTACAAGCTTAGCCTGGACCAGGAGGAGAGGTTAACCAGGCCTATTTGTCACCTTAAAGGCCATGGGCTTAGGCCCACCAAGTAACTTATTGGCCTCCTTCAGGTGGGGAGGCTACAGGAAAGGTGACAAGTGATTACTTGGGACAAGTAATAATGAAAACAGGGACAGGAGTGGAGCTCAGAAGCTCATGACAAGAGTGTCACAGGGGGACACTGAGCAGAGCACGCCGGACAGCGCCCACTGGCCCTCAAACGAGACCAAGGAGCCAACAGACATTGTCCAGTGATGCTCTGCTCCGAAAGCAGCCCTGCAGTCCCTGGGGACCCGCCTGGTTAGTCTTCATCATGGTCAGATACTTCGCCAGGGCCAGGAGGAGGTTGACCAGGACGTCCTGGGACATGGTGAGGCGGAAGGTCAGGATCCCTTTGAGTGCCCTGAGGTGTCCTGCCTCCTTTTCCCTGAGGGATGCGGTTCCTCTCGCTTTGGGCTTCCTGCTCTCGAACTAAGTGGCAGCAGCATTGCTCTTTGGCTCGCAGGGTGTGTGTGTGTGTGTGTTAATTTTTGGAGAGAGAGGAGGAATTGTTTCTCTCTCCTCCCTCTGTGGGGGGAGGGGGATCTTCGCTTCCCCCTCCAGTGGGGGGAGTGGTGTCTCCCGAGGAGACTTTAGCTTTGTCTTCCTCCCAGGGACGGAGGGGAGTGGGTGGGTAAGTAGGGGGTGTGTGGCTGGGTGTGCTTGTGTGTAGGTATGCGGGTAGGGTGTGTGTGGGGGTGCGTGTGAGAGAGAGATTCCGCCTCCCGCTCGTGTGCCAGGCATCCTGTGCCGAGC